TAGAGAATGGAAGGAAGAGGAAAAAATTATTTTATGTAGTTATTAAAAGAATTAAAGAAGAGTAGAATGAAAGGAAGCTACTAGTTTTATTTTTTCTTTTAATTAATTAATTTATTTAAATAAGGGAATGAGAGAAGAGAAGAATGAGAAGATCCTCATTTCCATCAATCCAAATATATTGTTATGAAATTAACTCAAAACAAAAGAATAATAATAAGAGTCATTAACTTTCACACAATTCTCAATTAAGGGACTTAATTGGTTTATGGTTAGATGTGATATTTTATATTTATAATATCACGTAAGATTATAAGTTTGTAATTATAATGTATTATTTACTGAGTATATTTATATAATATCAAAAGTAAATGCTAAATGAAAAATGTTAATTATATCAAGAAATATCATAATTGTAAGTGTAGAATTCAATTATGGACTTTACTCCCCAAAATAATTCAATTGTTATCTCTGTTTTGATTGGGCTCCCTATTTAAACGGGTTGATTTGTTCAGTTGGGCTTGATTATATTTTTTAAGGTTAGTTATTTCCCTTGTGATATTGTGCAGAGATTAGGGCCCTGCACGGTGAGGACTCCGTCGCAGTCCCTAGCGTAAGCCCTTACTCTCTGGTTTGTCTGTGGTCTCAACTCTCAATTGGGTTGGACCGATTTGAAAAAAAATAAAAATAAAAAAATAAAAAAATAAAAAATAAAAAATAAAAACAAAATTTGAGAGGTCAAAAATTTTAAATAACTCAATGATAATTTTCTTATATTAAAAGTAAAAAATTTTAATTTTGAGTCATATGACATGTGAGTGGATTGAAATAAAGGATAAAAAAAAATTATTTTCTTATTGTGTAACCAATATAATAAAAAAAATTAATAAGAGAAACTTTTTCCAAAAATGCTGTCCCACCCAAAAGGCCATTATTCTGCACCAAATCGAAGGATGGTACTTATTAATAGAGAAGTTTTTGACACTTTTTATGTTATTATTATTGTTATTATTATTATTTTTACAGAAAACACAAGAGATTTAATTTAAAGTTTTTTTTGTCATTTAAAAATTTTAAATAGGGACATGAAATTTTGAATAAGGGATCCCCTTACACCTCCACTCCATATGCCCTTTAACCACTATTTCAAAATCTTACATTCTTCTTTTAAAGACATTTTAATGGTTTGACAATTAGATTTTTATGTTAGAGGTATTACATATTTTGAATTAAATGTAGAATGAGAGAAGAGAAATTTATAATTAAAAAAAGGCTATTAAAACTCTAATGTTTAATTTATTAACACATAAATATTTTTTATAAGTTAAATTATTATTTAAGTTTTAAAGTTACCAAAAACCTAAATAACTTAATAATTATCTCTTTTTATTGGAAATAAAAAATTTTGAATTTGAATTATATGGCATGTGAATGAGATGAGATAAAAATAAAATATGATTGTCTCTCATTGTACAATCAAAATAAATAAAAAAAATTTAAGTTAATACTTACAAAAATTAAATTTTTAATTATATCAAATTAATATAAAAGTACATTTTTAAAATTATTTTTAAAAGCATTAATTTTAAAATACATATATTTAATTTAAAAATATCAAAATATAAATGCATTAAAAAGAAGAAGAAGAAGACTATCAACAGTGTACAAGGAATATTCTTTAGCGTCAAGAAAAATGCCAAGTCGTCAATGTACATGGACCGCATTGTGGATAAGCATTAAGCCTTTTGTGGGAATTCATTTCGAATTCATTAATTCATTCTTTCCTTGTTAGTTGGTTCATTCTTTAATCATGAATCAATCTCAGCTAATGTACCAATATTTTTATATCAATCTATTTTTTTTTATATTTAATTATACACTATATAGAAAAAAAAATAACTTTTTTTTTTAATTTTTAAATCATTTTCTATACGCGAAAACTCAAATATTAAATTTGAATTCTTTAAGTTTTAAATTTATAACCATTAAAGCACCCCATTAATTTTTGAATGATTCTAATTAATGATTGATTAGGCCGTTATGTAATTTCAATATTGTTTTCATTTAATTCCATTTATATTTTTTATTTATATTACACTTTAAAAATAAAAATAAAGAAATATTTTTTTTTATAAACTAAAAAAAAG